GCTAAATTTTGTTAGTGAGAATTTTCTGAAAATCTTGCTGGGAAAGGAACCACTTTCAACTTAAGACAGCTGCTAAAAAGCCCAGCTGCATGGGACAAGATGTGTATTGTGAGGAGACAACACAAAGTAGTGTGAGTTAAGTACTTGTGCTTGACATCACAATGCAAACGTGAAAGGCTAGAGTTTGCATTGTTGTACGATGACACACTTGTTGTCCCTTTCACACCATTGTGATTTCTACCATCTGCCTATGTGCTTCACCCTCAAGAGCTCTTCAAATAAACGCCACAACAAAAGGGGGCACTTTGCACTAAGCAGGCTACAATTTCATGTTTGTTGACCAATTTGATCCATTCCTATGTTTGCCTTCTTGCAGTTAACCTCAGTTTTAAAATGATTCCAAACATCAGCCCTGCACAATTAACCTCAGTTTAAAAACAGATAAACAAGAAATAACAGAAAGAAATATCTGAGAGCAAACACGGTCATTGTCAATCCTTATACAACAAAATCATCTACCACATTTGTCCAAGGCAAAGCCAAGGTTTTAAAACCTTAAAGGAAGGGGAACAAGGTTTTAATTACCACAATTTCCTAATTAAAATTTAAAGAACAACGCTTCAAATATTGTTTGGAATAATGAATCTGGCGCATACGCACTGAGACAGTTTGCTCTAGTGGTGAAACACCAGGCTACAAGGTAGGAGGCAGTGAGTTCTAGTCCCACTTTAGGCATGAAAGACAGATGGGGAACCTTAAGCCAGCCATTCTCTCTCAGCACAGCCCACCTCACAGGATTGTTGTTGTGTGGAAAATAGAAGACGTTGTATTAGTTATGTTTGTTACCTTGAGTTATTTATAAAGTAATAAAGGTAGGATAAATAAATACAGGTAGTCCTCGACTTACAACAGTTCATTTAGTAACTGTCCAAAGTTACAATGGCACTGAAAAAAGTGACTTTTGACCATTTTTCACACTTATGGCCATTTCAGCATCCATGTGATCACATGATCAAAATTCAGAGCCTTGGCAACTGACTCACACTTATGACGGTTGCTGTGTCCCAGGGTCATGTGATCCCCTTTTGCGACCTTCTGACAAGCAAAGTCAATGGGGAAGTCAGATTCACTTAACAACAGTGTCACTAACTGCAGTGATTCACTTAACAACTGTGGCAAGATTGTAGTACTGTAGTGATTCACTTAACAACTGTGGTAAAATGAGACAAAACTCACTTAACAAATGTTTCATTTATCAAAGGAATTTTTGGGCTCAATTGCGATCATAAGTCTACCTGCAAACCTAATATATAAATCTACCTATGAAGAGATGCTAGTTTACAATGGCAAAATTGTACAATTGTGTTTTTCCCTCCCACTAATTGGCCTTGTTTTCCACCTCTCAGGCTGGGGGGTGAAATTATACGCCCCTCAGACAGGGTT